TCTATTACTGTCCTCCGAACTCTGATGAATATACTTATAGCAAAAGCTGTGGCCACATTTTGTCATGTATGCCTCTTCAATCATATCAAAGCAGATGGGGGCGTATGAAATCATTGCTGTTGTCCTTATATGAGTGGATGAGCCTGATACAGAGGGGAGGGGCAAGCAGAGGTTGCTTCCTGCTGCTGTCTAGGCTACAGCTGCTGCCTCCTATACCAGCACTGGGCCTGGACACGCAGCTGAGCTGGGACAGGACTATGGATACCACCCTGCCACTGCCTGACACAGTGGGCACCACCAACACGGCCACACCGGGCCCCAGGGCTATCCAAGCTGGTGGCCTGGGCCACCCTGCTGGATAGCAGCACCACTGCCAAAGCTGCCACAGTGGTGGCAATGGGGAAGATGATAAGGACAAGGAGGCAAAAGTCACCAAAGAGGATGAGGAGCAGGGGCTCATCCCAGTGGAGTCTGACCTGGCGTGGTGGCTGAGGGGGCTCTCACGGGTGAGTAGGAGCCAGAATGTAGTGGGGAATCGGCTGACGAGGCTGGAGACACAGAAGGGTCTCAGGCATAGTGAGGAGTTTGGAGTTTGAATGTTCCCAGAGCCCTCGGGAGCCATCAGCAGGTTTGGGATCCGGTGATGCAATCTGGTGTTCAAGTTTTCAAAGCCCCCTGGGCTCGTGTTGAGTTTTGGGGGCAGAAGGCTGCTGTGTGTGGCCAGGTGATCCCCTGTGGTGGTCTGGTGAGCAAAGGTGTGAGGTGGAGAGAAGCAGGTAGGACTGAGAGCAAGGTGAGCATGGCATGGGCACCCTGGCCTGAGGTGTCACCTTCCAGAGAGCCCCCTCCTGGAAGCATTTGGGGAGTGTCAGGCCTAGCTCCCGTTGGACCCAGGCCACCTCAGGCTATATTAGGAAACAGATGGTTAGTATAGTCCACAACATAGTTACACTTGCTACATCTCTCAGGCTTTGTAGTTTTCATCTCTTGAAGTTCAATTTGGGTCGTTGGAACTATTCTGGCCTGTGTGAACTCTGAGTATTGTTCCTTCTAATCTTTTTTTTTTTTTGTAATGTCCTTACAAGCTTGTTGTGATCAGTACTTAGCTAAAGACTTGAGGGGGACGCTCTGAGATCTTTAGAACTCTCTCTCTGCGTAGCTGTATGTCTCACACTCTGCCCCGTAGATGTTCGCCACTTTGGCCCTTTTGACTTTCAGCCTTATCTCCTCAAACAGGAGAAACCATGTGGCTCCACCTGGATCTCCCCTCCCTGCACCCGTGTTCTAGAAGTTCCCTCAGGCCATAAGCTGCTCAGTCCTAGGAGTCACCCAATTTGTTTCCTGTGTCCTGGAGATCGTTATCCTCCATTGCCTGATGTCCAGTATCTTGCACACCATTTAAAAATATATATATATTTCCCAGTTATTTCTTACACTTAGGAGGGTAAATTGGTTTTTGTTACCCTAGTTTGTCTGAGATTAAAAGTCCCGGAAGAGTTTCTCTAAGATTAACCATTCGTAGAGTGGATATTACGGAAGTATGAAGTGTCAAGGGCATGAGAGGGCGTTAGCAAAACTGGTTGAAGGGATACATCATGGAGCTCGGGTTGTTCTGTAGAAAAGGTAAGGGTGCAGCACTTAGGATTGGACTTAGGCGTTTTCATAGATACGAAGAACAAGAATAAAAGAATACGGCAAAGAGAAAGCTAGCAGTTGAAGAGGTCAGAGTCAGAATTTGGCATGTTTATTCAAGATTTCAGAGGTCAGGCAGTTGAAGGGGACAGGCTGCAGGGTGTGGCCATCCGCTCAAGTGGAGTATGAGGGTGGTTGTTTAAATTGATTACATCTTTGAGACATGAAAGAATGACTTACGTCTATTTGAGAAAGTTTCAGAGGGGGCATTTCCATGGAGTTTAGGGAAAGAGAGCCTTGTTAGTCAAGCCTGTGTTAATCAAGTTTATTTACAATGGAATAAAGTTTCCTTAGGGCATACTACAAACGACTTGGAGCGCTGTCTGCAGAAGGTGGTAGGATGAAAATGCATAGCAAGACAGAGGGGATGGTATGTGGGGGAGCTTTGACTGGCAAGCCAGATGTTCCAGGGATGAGATTTGCTATGCTCCAGCCAACCAGCCTGCAGATGCTGAGGTGCTGGCTGATGTGGGAGGTCTGAAGCTGCCCAGCAGGTTGTGGCCAACCTCCCAGATGGCTCCAGTGATCCCCATGCCCTGGTATTTGTGCAGTCCCCTCCCATAGTGAATAGGACTGACTTCTGAAACTATAGGGTATTGTGGCAATGACAGTATATGATTTCCAAGGCTAGGTCGTATCAGAAATTGTGGCTTCTGCCTTGGTCCTTTCTGAACCCCTGGAAGAAGTCAGTATTATGCTGTGGGGACAGTTAAGCAGCTGTGGATAGGCCCACATTGGGGGAAACAGAGGCCTCCCATCAACAGCCAGTCACACTTTGCCAGGCCTGTGAGTGAGCTACCTTAGAAGTTTATTTTCAGCTCCAGTCAAGCTCTCAGATGACTGCGGCCCTGACCCAATCTGATGGCCACCTCATGAGCGATCTTTGAGCCAGAATCATCCAACTAAATCGTTTCTGAACTTCTGACCCACAGAAATGGTGTGAGATAATAAATGTTCATTGTTAAGTTTCCAACTTTGGGGACAATTTGTTATTCAGCAGAAGGTAACTAATGCACATTTTCGTCCTGACAGTAGGGTACCTTAACGAAACCTAATAATGCAGGCATGAGTTTGACCCAGTGAGCAGAGGTGGGAGGGCCCTTAGGAGAGAGCTGGGGGAGCTCACACCAGTTATTCACCTGCGGGGCCCACAGCTGCTCTACCTCCTGAGTGTAAAAACGGTACGGCTGCCGTTTCCCTTCTGCCTCTATGTCTTAACCAAATGGCCCCTGCAGCTCACTCCACCTGGAAATATACAGAGAATGGAATCCTGGAAACGCACCTCAGTCTTGCTGTGCTGACATGTTACAAAAGCATCCTGAGGGGCTGTTGTGAAGCTGACTTGGAGGAGGACTGTGCCAGGCAGTCGGAGGCAGGACCATCAGATGCCAGAGCAGTCCCAGGCTTTGAAGTGTCTGGGGGGTTCCGGACGCCACAACAGAGGGGAAGCCAGAGCATTGCGGGAAGACAGAGAAGGACCCTCAGCCAAGAGGGTGGCTTCTCTTGCTTGCGGGCGCAGAGACTTTCTCTGTGTACTGGAGATAACAGGTCTCAATCACGCTGCGAGGCCTCGTGGGAAATCTGAAAAGCCACAAAATGCCTGTGCCTTTGTTTCTGTCACTATTTCCATTAAAAGGTGAAATAAGCGAAAGAAAGATAAAAATCCAAGAGATTGGAAACAAGTGGCTCCAACGTGAGACCGGGGTATGATGACGCAGGGAACGATTGCGAAGTGGCTGGGTCATTAGACTCGCGCATCTCAGATCACTTCCTCGCCATGCTCACATGAGCTGCCTTTGTGCCCAGGCTGAGGGACTGGAGCCCAGAGCCACGCCACCATCAGAGAGGGCCGAGGGCTTCACCACACTCCCCTGGTCAGGGCGAAATTCACCCACAAAGGGGACAGCGGTCCATACGTCTTCATCCCTATTCCTATATCCTGGAGAAATCATCTGGAAGAGGGACAGACAAAAATAGCAGCCGGCTAGTCTTTTAGGTGCTTAGCAAAGAGAACTGGGTGGGATGGCGGGGACCATCCTCCAGGAGGAGTCTGCGTGGGAGGCACTGAGCGCAGACTCGAAGGTCTGCTGCAGTCAGCTCTTCCTAGGGGACAGAGTCCCACCCACCCAGTTTAAAGGACGGGTCTAGAGAAACTTACACCAATCGGGGCATATAGATCGCTCAGGATACAGCAAAGCAGTAAAGGTCTAACATGCAGATGTCCAGGTCAGTCCTCTTGGAGGGCAACCTCTGCCCTTGAAGTCTTTGGTCACCAAGATCCCCAGAGCAGGCAGGAACACTGCCCTCCAGCCTCTCCACTTTCCACAGGGGGTGGCAGGCCAGTCCCTGTCTTGGCACTAGCGGACTCTGCTCCTCTGCCGCAGTGAGGGTGCTGCCCCCCCACCTCCCATGGGCTCTGGAGGCTTCTGGCACTTGCTAGCTAGTGTGACTTTGGACAGGTGATTCAGTCTTTTCTAGCTTGAGTTTCTTCACCTGTCAGGTGGGTTTCGTCGTTGTACCTGGCTCGTGTTTTGGGAGCATGTGCTACCACACGGGAAGGTGCTCTGCATGGTGTCTGGCTCACAAGAGGTGTTCGACAGAGCTTCGTCTCTGTCAGCTCTTGGCAATCATTAACACAGCCTAAAACCCAAGCTAAATGCAAGCTGCAAGGCCACCGTGCACCTGCCTTCTGTGCCAGCGGCCAGAGCCGGGGTGGCGCGGAGCAGGAGCTCTGCTGATCTCTCCATGTGTGGCCATCTTTCCCTTCTGGTGGGAACTTGTCAGCTCGGCGTCCTTAAATGCACTCTGATTCTCTAACCCTTTACAAACTGTTCTCTCAGCAAGTCTTAGGTTGGCCTGAGGCACAGAGAAGAGAGATATTATCCCCTGGAGACCGAGGGGAAACAGAGAAAGGAAGAGGATGCTCCAGTTAGCAAGTCCCTGCCATGGCCCCTGGCCTGGCTGCCCCACAAGGTCAGGGCTCATGCCCTACGGCGCAGGTTCATGGCTGAGCCTCCTCGGCACCAGGGCAGGCCACGGTGACAGTCTCAGTGCTCTCAAAAAACATTTGAGAGATGAACACTCTCTCAAAAAACTCTACTCTACCTGCTCCGACAAACAGGCCCCGGCCGCACTCTCTCCCACTGTGCGCTGGCGTGACGGGTGCGGCCTCCACCGCCTGTTCGCTGGGACACCAGGAACACGCCACGGCTGCTTACGGGTCATCATTTATTGAGTTGAGAATTCACATAGAGTAACATCATACAGAAAATCGTTTCCAGGCCTCAAGAAAAATGACTGTCACTCACTGTGCTTCACAAAAATTTCTTTTAATGAATAAATAATTTGATGAAATCAAAAATATTTACAATATAAACACACGGAAAAGCTCTAGGTCCGTGAATCCGATCGTCGAGTTTTGCATTTTGTGAACTGAGTCCTCCCCCAAGCTTTTCCCTTGGAAACAATACAAATCTGATAGAAACGACGACTCATACAACATGTCTTTGTTCATTACACATTTATCTGTTAGTCCTGGAAAGCTACATAAGCATATATTACGCAACATGTTAAAGTACAAATATTACCTAAAATAATATATTATCATAATGCCAGACAGCATTCTCCACAGAACAAAAACACACTCAGCTGTAACAATAACGAGGGTCACGGGCCACAAAAGAATACCCCAAAGGTACAAATTCCTTCATAAGAATATAGTTGTGCTCTTCAGTTTACCAGATGTCTACGCTGCTCTAGGAAGCCGGTGGCGAGGAGTACGGGATTTGGCGACTGTGGCTGTGTGTGTGTTCCTGTCAGGCAGCAGCATTACTGGGATTGGGCAGTGCAAGCAGTTTTAGAAACACTTTCTTGGGCTCTTAAAAAGAGCCAATTATGCAAAGCAAAATAAGCATATTGAGAAGTCTTCATCTCTTCTGCACAAATACCACGGAACGTCTTGGCTTTGTGGTATGAAAGGGATTGTTTGCAGAGCTGTTTACGCCATCAGCCAGAATTCAAGTATTCCAGGGCCACCTCGTAGCAGAACTTGTACTGATCCTGGAAAACAGGAGGGGAAAGTGTCAGCTCAAGAATATCTCAACGCTGTTCCTAGTAAAGCAGTTACTGTAGAGTAGGGTCTTAATGGGAAGACATCAATCTGGGAAGCATTTGAATTAGACACGAATCAGAAAGTCACGGTTCTGAACTCCAGAGACAGTCACTGTTTGGAGATGCTCCCCACAATGCTGGCTGAAAGGTATTTTGCTACCTGTGCTGGCCAGAATTCCCGGAAGGTTCTGGACACTGGGAACTCTAAATATGTTTGTCCACACATGTGATTTCCAGGATATCAACATACTGAGCTTCGTGCAGGAGGGTCAGGGATAGAAGAAAAGGTAACGAGTGTTGAGGAAATGCCTTCGTGTCATCTCTCACAAGGCCCTTGGTACCTAGACGAGGCCTCACGCGTGATCCAGTTTTACCTTTGACTTTCAGTCTGTAGGAATTCCTCAATCTCATGAGAATTTCATCAGCACCTCCTGAATACCAAGCTGCTTGATCTGCTCCCTGATTTTGAGAAGTCCATGATCCAGTGAGGAGGATGAGACAGGTAACCCAATGACAACACACGAGGCGGAATGGTCCCTATCATGTGCGGTGGGCTCAGGGGAGGGCAGGTCTTCTCAGGGAAGATGGCAGTGGGAAGTAGGTGGAGAGCACCTTCCCCAGAGGATGGAACTGATGCATGGAGTGTGGAAGCAGCCTTGGTTTGCCCTGGACGGTCCTGGCTTCTGCCTGTTGTCTTGGCATAATCCTCTTTCACTCTCAAAGTGCCCTAGTTTGGATATAGCATATGGCCATCCTCACCAGTTACTCAAAACAGGCATTCCAGGCAGAGGTAACAGGACGAGGAAAGGTATAGAAGGGGAAATGTTCGAGATCCTCTGGGACCCACAGACCAGTTTTTCATCAGGCAGGGAATTAATTTCTCCCTCCCAGCTTTCTTTCTTTCTTTTTTTTTTTTTTTTAAAGAAACAGGGCCCTTTGTCACCCATCTGGAGTGCGGTGGCACAAGCATGGCTCATCACAGCCTCGAACTCCTGGGCTCAGGCAATCCTCCCACCTCAGCCTCCTGATTAGCTGGGACTGTCAGCATCAGCCACTGCACCCAGCACTGGATTCATTTTTCTTGAGTTCAGCTTTCCTGGATCATGTACCTTGGCCTGAGCAAGCTCTGCACAAGGTCCTGGCTGAGGTGTGGTCTCGGGTGGCCGGGGAGAGCATCCTGCACCTGTATGCATGGAGTGTGCTGACAGAACCAAGCCTGGGAGTGGTCCCTGAACCCAGCAGCGGGACACAGGGCTGCCACCTGGCAGGAGCCCGGCCCCGGAGAGCGCCTCCGCAACTGGAAGGCTCCCTTCCACCTCTAGCGGAGACAAGCTTCCACATGGGCGAGCGAGGTTCAGCACCACCGTCTCTACCCATCACAGCCACCATCTATTATTTTTCATTTTGCCAAATTAATTGAAAATGTCTAGTATTTCTTAAGTGCCTCCTAATTTGTCACTGAAATTTCCTTTTCTTCACCTACACTGTTCTGTAAATACCCCAGTAGTAGTCCAACCTATTTATCTGAGGACAAGGGCCACAGTTTATCCCTCTTTGTGTAATGTAACAGTCTCTAGCTCAGAACTGACACAGCTGAGAGTCTAAGTCGGCCGCATGTACACATGAAGACAAGCAGCACATGATCCAACTCAATACACATGTACTGCTAGAGACTGGGGGTTTTATGACACAGTCAGTTCTCTGGGAGGTCACGATCCAGAGGCAAATCAGAGAACAAGGAGATCATTTCAATCACTGACAGTGCCACGAGATTAACATCAGTGGCAAGAAAATCACAGGTGTTAGCGAGGGCGTGGAGAAAGCGAACCCTCATACACAGCTGGAGGGAATGTCAAATGGCACAGCCACTTTGGAAGACCGTCTGACAGCTCCTCAAAAGGTTAAACACAGAATTCCCATATGACCCAGCAATTCTACTACTAGGTATACAACTAAGGAAACTGAAAACGTATGTCTACACCAAAACTTTGTAAACAAATGTTCACAGAGCATTATTCCCAACAGCCAACAAAGGTAAACAACTCAAATGTACATCAATAAAATGCAGTATAGCCATAAAGTGGAATATTACTTGGCTATGAAAAGGAATGAAGTACTAATACATGCTACAACGTGGATGAATTGAAGCATGGATGAATCTGCTGAGTGAAAGAAATCAGATTTGAAAGGGCACACACTCCTTTTCCATGAAATGCCCAGCATATGCAAATCTATAAAGACCAGAAGCCAACGGGTGGTTGCCAGAGCCTGGAAGTGAGTAACGGGGAGTGGCTACAAGTAGGTCTAGGATTTCTTTGATGGGACTAAGGGGGTGATGGAAATGTTAGACATTTGGATTGTGGCGATGGTTGCATAACTCTGTGAATATACTGAAAACCAGTGAATGACATACTTTAAAAGGGGATTTTTTTTTATTTGGGGTACATGTGCTTATTTGTTACACAGGTATTATACATGTAATGGTGGGGAGTGGGCTTCTAGGGTATTCACCCCCCAAATGAATGTTCATATTGCATTACACAGCTGGTAGGAATGCAAAACACTGGAAACTGATTACAACTGAACGTTATACCCAGTAGGTAATTTTTCAACCTCTCCTCCCTGCTTTTGGAGTTCCCAGTGTCTATTGTTTCCATCTAAAAGTGGAAATGTTATGGTATACATATTATATTCCAATAAAGCCTTATTAAAAATGCTTATTCCATGATGTGAATCCTACCTTTAGTGTCTATCAAGGGCTCAGGTGGGACCGGAACTGGGCAGACTCTGACATAGGAAACATGAATCCAGTTGTTCTCTGCTTTTTAGAGAGTCACGGTGCTCCACACTGACCAGGAGCCTTAGGTCCTATTAACCATCCCCAGATCCTGGCTAATCCAGTCCCCTCTGGTCATAAAACAGGGGGTTGGATCACATTTAAGGTTCCCTTCCAGCTTTCTCAATTTAGAACTTTAGGACTTGGTTTGCCTTTAAAGTAAGTCTGATGACATATGAGAAGGTGTTCCTAAAATTATCTCCTGGTGCAAATAACAAATATTTTGCTAGCCTGTCATTTCCCTTAAATAGACCACTTTTTCCATACACAATGAAATGCCAATAAAGATAGAAGTTTTTTTTTAACTTTTTAACTGGAAAAAATTATTACTTGCCCTAGGCAAATCAGATTTCTGATTCATATTCTAGTATTTATTATTTCAGAATTTGATACTTTTATTTTCAAAATATTTAAAAGAGATAATTTGAATTTCAAAATTCCAAAAGGCCACGTTGTCAGATCACCAGGCTGACATGTTGGCTATGAAGTGCTCCCGTCATTTCTCCGCTTTTGTGAATCACAGGAACAATTTTTTTTGTAATGGAAATCTACATGGTCCAATCCCTTACTGCATAAAAATGATTTTATACAAGCCTAATTGTGCAATTCATTTCAGTGCCTACTCAGAGCCATCCTTTTAACATATTAAAATGCACCTAGTGGGGAAATGTGGCTGCGGCCCTCAGGCCACAACACAGGCTGGAAACTCAGGAGGGACTTCGGGCTTTGCTTCGAAGGAGCTGCTGCTTGGAAGTCACCGAAGCTGCCCTGTCTCAGGCATGACTGTAATTTTCAAAATGAATTCTCCCTCTCCCACCTTATCCTTCCTGAGCAAGCGGCCAGTCCCCATAGATTCTGTGATGACTGGTTTCTGAATCAGAAAAATAAGGGGAAGGAGAAGGAAGACCATAAATCGCTGTGCCCCTTCCCCCAAGCACCTGGGTAAATGCCTGAATCTTCCGACACTGGAAACTGATTACATTTGATCACCAGGTACAGGCCTGTCTTCTGCAGTTTCCTCTCTCAGCTCACTTGCTTTTGAACGGTATAATTAAGCCACATGAGCCATCCCTGTGCTCCAGGGGAAAAAGGAACGTTTACGCCTTGGTCCTGAGTGCTCCAATCTGGGCGACATTAGCTGGCTTCAGGCATGAGGAGGTGCCCTGAGTAGGGACTCAGGTGGGAGCCTGGCCTGCTCCTCCTCACATCCTTGGGTCAGACCATAACCAGGGCGACCTGCTGCTATTCCTCACCAAGGCCCCTGACACTGGCCTCGCTCCCGATCAGACTTCCTGGACCTATGAGCGGGAGAAAGCAAAACCTGCAAGGGGGCTGGAAATTGAGGTTTGCTGTTAAAAGCCACTCGCTCGCTTGGTGAGGGCATCACGAGGCCAGCACACCAGTGGGTGACGTTGGGGGCCTCCATCAGGGGCCCCAGCCCTGTCGTTGTCTGCGCAGGCTGCCTATGTCTAAGGAACTCAGGCTGGCGGCCAGCATGGGCACTTCAAACAGCACGTCAACGGCCTCCAAAGATTCAGAGAGAATAGCCTCCACCGCTGGCCTGGTTGCTTTTGAAAGTAAGGCAAGCTCCACGATTTTGGCTGGACCCTGTACTGACAGATCCTTCGGGCTGGAAAAATTCTTCTGCGTAATGTTCTGCCAGGAGGGCGGGCTGGGCCCTATTACCGTGGTGGGATCCTTCAGTTCAGTGTTCCCAGCCAGGCTGTGGCCAGTCACTCTGTGCCAAGGAGACCAATAAATTCACATCCCTGCTCAGCGAGACAGCAGCACGCCCCTGGAATGATGAATGGCTCATTCCTTTCTACTCTATCTTTAAAATACATAGGTAGAACTTTCTTCACCAAAGCCCCCTGCAAAATCCACGCCCAGTTCCTTATTGAGGCCCTGCTGAGCACAGCCACAACCTCCCCTAGGTTGGAGAGGACAGCAAAGGGTGCCTCAGGTTGGAATCGGGTCTGGCTGCAGAGAATGCTCAGTCACTCAGCAGATGCTCACTGGGCAACTCCTGTGAGCCAGGCTTGGCTGGTGCTGAGTGTGAGGCGCGGGCTGGGCAAGTGGAATCTGGGGATGGAGAGAGGGAATGGGGTATTAG